TGCACACCACCATGCTGCCACTACCGTGTAGAGCTATGTGGATGGTAGTTTCAGAATAATAAACTGAACTTGAAAGCATTGTTTGATCATTCTGATTAAATTGTGTGGTTGGAAAATTTAGTTTCTCTTATTTCATATATTAATTAATGCTATTTATTCGCTATAAAAGTTTCCATTCAGCCTTTTTCACCTGCAGAGCCACACAATTCCCTTGAGCGAGGGCTGTTTTTAGACATTCTTTCTTCCCATAACAAACCAGATTCTTTCTCAAGGTTTATTCATAAATTTTTACAGTTTAACCAAAGTGTAATTTGTTTTGAACTCATGATAAGTTTCCATTATTGGAAGTAAGGAGGAGCGAACGCTGCCCAGGTCAGAACAGGGCTGATTACCGTGAAATAAGGACCGAATGATGAACTGTTCTCTCTTTAAAAAGATTAAAATAAATTGCTGACTGAGTGAAATCCATCGATCTCCGTTTATTTAACTGGGGTGAATAGTTCATTACTTTTTTTCCACTACAATCTTTTTTTCTTTTTTCTAAAAAAACAACCTGAACTGATTCAGTTCCGTTGAGCTTGTTGCTGGGCCTGTTTATGTTTCATTCTTTAGGGGAATCAAAGTAAAAGATGCACTACTTTATGTTGTCTTATCAAACAAAACAATCAAATAAAAGTTTGTATAGCGACAGAATATTGGAAATTAAGTGTTTAAATTAAATAGCAATGGAAGTGCATCAGTCCATAGACAACATTATCATTGATAATGTCTATTAAGTTGTCTTTAGAAAAACTGAGAAATGATCTCAACTTTGGTGGCGTGGGTGAGGGGGGGTTGGGGGTGGGGGGGGATATTTATAACCAGAGTTAGCGTGTTTATTCTGATAAACATTGCGGTTTGGAAACTTCTGTCACTTCAGAATGTTGTTAGGTTGTTGCATCAAGTTATCAGATCGCTCATCTACAGCAGGGAGCTTTATTTGGTAGCAGAAACACATTATGTTACTTTTTTTTTTTTTTACAGTGTCCTGTCTGGCAATGTGGCAATAAGACTAATTGTCTTGATGCCAAAAAGAGCCCAACAGATTTTACTAATAATTATGCAGGGAGTTTTACAGTTTATATGGACGCTGCAATGTAAGTAGAGCAGAAAAACAGAAGAAGAAAAANACGAGAGTAAAGTCGTAACGCTACGAGAATAAAGTCGTAACGCTACGAGAATAAAGTCGTAACGCTACGAGAATAAAGTCTTAACGTTACAAGAATAAAGTCGTACCATTACAAGACTGGTAATTTTACAACTTTATTCTCGTAACGTTACGACTTTATTCTTGTAACGTTGGGAGAATAAAGTCGTAACGCTACGAGAATAAAGTCATAACGCTACGAGAATAAAGTTGTACCGTTACAAGACTGGTAATCTTACGACTTTATTTTCGTAACGTTATGACTTTATTCTCGTAATGTTGCGAGAATTAAGTCATAACGTTATGAGAATAAAGTCGTAACGTTACGAGAATAAAGTCATACCATTACAAGACACGTTATTTTACAACTTTATTCTCAACGTTATGACTTATTTCTCGAAATGGAAGAAATAAAAATCTCTAGCCTGGCCCTAATACTCTATCGTAGGAAAAGGGAGAAATAGACAGACTGACACAAAACTACTGACCTATTATGAAGGCCTACAGTTCAGAATTCATGTTTATCTTAATAAACACGTATTAAACACAAATGCATCTTATTCATTATCATTTATTTTCATCCCCAATTATCAAAGCTTTGTCAAGCAGTTTGGAAACAGGTGATAATCCCTTCTCTAATTCATCACCTGGCATAAAAAACCTTAATCCGTGCTACTTAAACTTATCATTTAGGTAGCACACACACATATCATCCTTATCTTATCTTATTCTTATATCTTATTTGTACTTTCAATCATATTTTTCTCTCCTCTGTAAACGGTTGCACTGCCAGAAAAAAAAAACTCCCACAAGGGATTAATAAAGTAAATCAAATAAACCATTTTAATCTAGATTAATTCCAAGTTTACAGTGAGATTAATTTAGATAAAAAAATGTATCTATGCCCAACACTACTTTTGCTATATACTTTTAACTGCAGTTTTGGTTTGTTTTTAGAGTTGTTTATTAGTCACTATTATTCTAACTATAAGTTTTTGTCCATTTTTATTATATTATAAATATGTCTTTAAATAATAAAGACTAGACAGGAAATAACATAAAAACGGTTCATTTTCTGCAGATTTAAACGGAGCGCTTGGGAAAAAGATCAGTTATCAAGACTTCTAAAAAGACTGAACATGAAAACATTTTTCCCTCGAACTGCGGTTGATGAAAGAGGTTAGAGGTCATTTGTGTCCTGGAGGGGCTGAAGCTCCCTAACCCCTCTTTCTACGACTGAATGTTTGATTTAGGAGCGTCGTATTAATCTCTTGCTTTCTTGTTTCATCATCGTTTCCTGATGTTCTGATCTAACATTTGTTTTCTGTCTATAAAACGGTGTGTTTAGTGATGCTTTCTAAAGTCTTCTCCTCAGGCGGTGCTGAAACGTAGCTCACTCCAGTCGTGTTTCTGCAGATTTCCCTGGAGGCCGTTGAAAGCCTGGGTCTCCTCCTGGAGGGCTCGGTGGGCCACGGTAAAGGTATTCAGCCCGTCCACAGGCTGCTGACCAAAGGTCCGCTCCAAGCCCAGTCAGGATTCTCGTCGCTGAGCCGCTCCTTCCCTCTGGACAAACTCCTGTCGTGTCTCCAACAAAACCTCACGCTCAACCCGTTCGGGATGACCGCCTGCCTCCAGTCAGGGAAGAAACTGGCCTGGGCTCAACAAGGTGTGCCTCAGTCTGCTGCCTTCCGCCTCCTTCACCCTCAGACCTGCTTCCTTTTCTCTGCCCTTTGACTCTCGGCTTGCTTTCTGTTCCTCCCAGTGGAAGGAGCCATGAAGAGAGCCAAGATTGCCCGGAACACCCACACGGCCGCCGCCGGCAGTAAGATTGTGCTGATGTCCCAGGTCATCAAACAGACTCTGGCCAAAACGTCTGACAAGCTGACCGGAGCCAACCTCAAGATCCACCGCTGCTCCGAGGCCTTCATATACCTGCTGTCTCCTCTCAGGTGGGGCCGCTTTCTCTGACGCTGGGAGCGTTTGGCGCTCTGGGACTCGGACTCAGCTGTGGTTTCTCTTTAGGTCCGTCAGCGTCGACAAATGCCGCGACTGCACAGTGGTCCTGGGTCCCGTACAGACCAGCGTCCACATTCACGGCTGTCAGAATGTTCGCGTGGTGTGCGTGGCCGGCAGGGTGGTGGTCGGCGCCTCGTCCAGGTGCACCGTCCACGCCCTGACCCCCACCTGCCCGCTGCTTCTGCCCGGTAACTCGAACATAACCCTGGGTCCCTTCCATACCTTCTACCCGTCGCTGGAGGACCACATGGCCAGCGTGGGGCTGGCTGTGGTCCCCAACGTCTGGGATCAGCCTTTGATTCTGGGAACCGAGGGCCTCGCCGGCCCCCTGTCCAAGTCAGACACCTCCTGCTATCGCCTGCTGCCCCCGTCAGAGTTCCACGCACTGGCCGTGCCCTTCCAGATGGACGGCGACACGTGCGAGATCCCTGGTGGTCTGCCGCCGGCGTACCAGGCGGCGCTGAGTGAAAAGAAGAAAAGGATTCAGAGCTGGCAGAGAACGGTGATGGAGGCCCGGCTAAACAAGTGAGTGGTCAAGAGGTCCACAGCTGGACTGATGTTTCAATTCTATTCAGTTCATTTCTATAGCGCCATTTCACAGCATGTCATTTCGAGGCACTTTCCAGTTCACCAGATCATCCAGTCAGATTGATTCAAAG